GGAAATGGCTACGTCCTTTCCACTTTCAGACACATCCATAGAGATGTCTCCAACCACCTTCTTTCCCCAGCTTTGTTTGAATAATTTTTAGCTCCTGACAAGCCCTGAAGGTGCTGAGGCTCCCAGGGGGTGACAAAGTGTGGGGGAACACTTTCTCCTTCTTGGGTTAAGGTCCTTACATTCACCAACTAATTTGAATTAGCTTAAGCAAACTAGAGCCAATGTGTTTTGCAGACAGAAGAGCTGCTTTGAGACAGCCAGCCCTTCTCCTTTTTCTCACCTTCTCTTCTCTATTCCTGCTGCTTTATTTTGTTTTCAGACTGGCTTCCTTTAGGCCTGTTTTTCATTTCACATGGCACAGAAGGTAGGATACAAGGGCCCCCTCCCCCCTTTATCCATTTACACTTGCTCTGTTCAACAGTGGAGTTGGCCTAAAACTGCACTTCCAGGGTTGAACCATAAAATATTGGATTGGCCCAGCTTAGATCACATGCTGAGCCCTGGTCCAATCAACTGAGGCCAGAGGGCAGTCACATGATACTAACTGGTGCCCCAAGCTTGCCCCTATGGGTGAGTAGGGAACTCAAGGGTGAGTTGGCCAGGCAAGGCCAAAGGATTTCAGGTTGGTACCAAGTGTTTCTTTCAAAGCAACTCTTTGGGCTCCTGATCCTGAGTTGGCTTCATCCTGCCAATTCCTATGTGGAGTTCAGAGTCACTAAGAGTACATAGCTGATTTCCCTCAGCTTTTAGCAGGAAGCTAGAAGGTCCCCACCATGACCAGAGCAGAGAAGCAGTGGAGAGCTGACTTTCCCTCAGGGAAGCTTCTGTGACTTGGGCATGAAGGACAGAATGGTCTCTCCCCTCCATTCTGCATTACAAGGAGAGTCTAAGAGGAGCCCAATGCCTCCAATTCTGAGGACCTGTGTACAGATGTTACCATCAAATCTGCACTTTAGACCTCTCTGTGGCAGATGAAATAGGGAAGCAAAACACTCAGAGTTCTCAATCCTGGGAAATGAAATTTATTTTGGCCAGTCCACCAGAAAATGAATTCATTGTGTACTACTAGTCAAGACGGACCTTCTGTTAATGGCAAAATCAAAGTAGTTTTAAACAGTATGGGTTAACTTCCTGTTCACATCTACTCAAGGGTCCAGGCTTCTTCCTTCTAATGGCTTCACCATCTTCTAGGGATCTGGTCCCACTGGGTCCTCTACACCCTGCTAGGAGGTAAGAGCATGGAGGATTTCAGAGGGGTTTAAGGACCAGGCATAGAAGTCCATTACTTCTCCCCACATGCTTTTAGTCAGAAGTCAGCCATGTGGCCACACCTACGAGCCAGAAGCCTGGGAACCCAGGGCAGTCTAACTCTGTGTGCCTAAATACAAGAGAAAATATTTCTGATGACAATGCTCTTGGGTGACATTAGGAAGCACACCTCAGAGTCACAGGCAGGTGAGAACTGACAATAAGGCTCAACTTCTAGGAGTGCTGCCAAACCCCATCTCAGACCTTGATGAGGCAATTACAGTAGCCTGTGCCATTTGCAAGCACTAGACACTGGAAACCAGCTTCACAGCAATGCTACCTCTGCTAGAGCTAATGATACATCCAGTCCCAGAACCTGACCTTGCGATGTTTGCAAGACAGCAACCACTGCCCTTCTGACAGCCAGTGTTATCACCATCACCCAAAACATGCTGATGCTCCAGGGTGACTCCCTTCCCTGCCCTGTTGTTTCCCTTTTGGGTTTATTCTGGTTCAGATATGAGGTGTCCCCTAAAAGCTCTTGGTTAATGCAGGAATGCTCAAAGGTGAAATGATTAGATGTTAGAGTTGTGATCTAATCGGTAAACTGATCCATTTGATGATTAATAATGTCAGAGGACACTGTACTGTGTGGTAACTGTGGGCAATGGGGCGTGACTGAAGGAGATGAGTTGCTGGGGACATACTCTGGAAGGTTCCTCCTCCCTCAGCCCCTTTCCCCCATCTGCTTCCTGGCTGCCCTGAGGTGAGCAGCTTCCCTCTGCCACACCCTTCCACCATGATGTTCTGCCTCACCTCGGCCTACAGCAAGGAAACTGGCCCACTGTAGACAGAGACTTCTGAAGCCATGAGCCCAGAATAAATTTTTTTCTCCTCTAATTGTTCTTGGGGATATTTTGTCACAGCAATGAAAAACTGACTAACACAGGGTTATTTGCTTCCAAGTTCAAGTTCTGCACAGGAACATTCGAAGTGTGGGCTTAGCCGCAAGACCTCATTCTTCCTGCTCAGGAGGATGGGAATTTGAGTTCTGACTTTTATTTCAGGAAGGCAGGACTCACACTATGAGCCTTTTCTGTAACGAGAAGATAGAAGACAGTCATGAAAAAAGAAGAAGAAGAAGAAGAAGAAGAAGAAGAAGAAGAAGAAGACAGCCATGAACAAGACAAATGTCCCCTTTTGCAGGTGATCAGGGAAGGAGCCCCCCTGGCAACTTCAGCTCTGACAGGGCTTAGATAAAATGATGTTGAGGATGAATCATACATTATGTTCAGACAAATTCCAAAAGTGAAATGGCCAAGTAGCAGGTTCTTAGAGTTGGGAGTAAGTGAAAGTTTTTGTTTAAATCTCCAACTTAATTCAGGAATCCCCTCTGCCAAAGCTGCCCTGCATTCGGATTAGTCCCCCGAAACGATTCATGGGGTTAGACGACTCAGTACTGATCTTCAAGGCAGGCTTTTGGATCACTTTTTGTTCTTCAAAGTTTCATTTCTTTCCTTTTTCTCTTTTTGTTAAGCACTCACCTGGATTTCTCCTGCCAGCAGCCTGAGTCTTCTTCCCTGGGAATCCACATGGAACAAATCTGCCCTTCATGCATATAACATATTTTTTATGTTTCACCAACCTGTCCTCTTTTTCTCCTTTTCTAGGATGAACATCCCTTTTACTCCATTTCTCAGGCAGAAGGGCAGAAGGATGTATTCTATTAGTCCACTTTCTGTTACTGTAACAAAATCCCTGAGCTAATCAACTTTAGAACTGGAAAGGGTTTTTTTGGTTCATGTTTTCAGAGGTTCCAGTCTTTGACAATTGGCTCTGTTTGTTTCGGCCTCTGGTGAGGCAGCATAATTACAGTGGGAACAGGTGGTACAGCAACCTACTCACCTCATGGCAGTCAGAAAGCGTAGAGACAGGAAGAGGCCAGAGTCCCAATATTCCCTTCAAGGGCAAACTCTCAGTGTCCTAACTTCCTCCTTCTCTTAAAGTTTTCACCACCTCTAATAGTGCTAAGCTGGGAACCAAGTCTTTAACATATGGGCCTTTGGGTGACTCAAAATCCATTCTATAGTATAGCCCCAAATGGTAGGGCTGAAATTTCACTACTCTTAAAAAATGTCTCAGAGTATGAATTCCAGCTTGACATATGGGAGAACTGAGACACCAAGCAGTTGAGGAAATAGAAGAAATTGGGGTCTGGATCAAAGATGTGAAACCATGGTCACCTCCAAGTTCATATAGATGCTGCTTCTACCTGGCCCAATCTTGACCCCACCCAGGGGACTTCCAGCCTGTGCGCTAGCTCCAGAGCCACACAATTCCCAAGCCCAGGGAGCTTTGGCCTGCTCGCTGTCATGTTGGCATCTTTCAACTCTTGTTGCAAACAGTAAGAGACACTGAAGTGGGATCATGGAAATAAGCCTCCTATGAGAGCTTCTAAGATGTTACCCTGAGCATGTGAGTAAATTGACTTAGGAAAAGTGTGTGGGGGGGACCAACACTTGTTTACCCTGATTTTTTTTGTTAATAAAAAGGAAATTTATGTTCTTTTTTCTGAAACTACTACCTGTCATCTCACTGCACGCAGCCTAATGGGTCCCCACAAGGAAGGAAGGAGACAGTTAGGATCACCGGCGATCCTGCAGAGCCCATCTGGAAACAATGGCTGCCACAGCTGTCCATCATGGCCAAGTTCAAATGTGGATACTTCATAAGATGCTTCAACTGGTCAGGTCCTTGGCTCAAACTATGCTTCATTCCAAAAGTCCCGGATCCTTCACTCTATCTATCTTACTCACTGTTTTCATGATTATAAAGGAGATGTATGGTTATTTTAAAATATCTGGAAAATATATTTACCCATTAAAAAAATGGAAGTGACCAGGACTAACCATTGCTAACAATTCAGTGCCTCTCATCTGGATTTTTACACACATATTTTTGTATAAGAATGTGAATGTCATGCTGTGTATATCATTGTGCAGACTTTTTTCTCATTTAAAATTGTGTTGGGAGCATTTTCCATATGGATTCTTGGACAGTATGGCCAGAGAGTGGATCCCATCCCTACTTTCATTCCCCAGTCAGGGAATCTTGTGTGTGCCAGGCACTGTCATAGGCTTTGGGGTCATAATAGCAAACAAGACAGCATCCCATCCTTTGTGGGACTTGTAATCTGGTGGGAGAAGCAGAGGTCATTACAAAGGGGACAAGTGAGAGAGAAAAGGATGGAGCCTTCCACCAGCAACAACAGAGACCCAACACAGTAGGGTCAGTGGCCAACAGCGGGTGGCACAGCGTCACTGAGGAAGTCATGGCCAAGCAGAGCCCTGAGGACTAAATGCAGAAAGTGGTCGGATTCCTGAGAGAGGAGGTAGAAACAACAGGACTTGATTGTTAACTGAATGTCAGGGAGGAACAAAGAATGTTTTCAAGGTTTCCTGCTTGAGCCGCCAGGAGGAGAGCTCATAATCTAGCTCCGGGTTCAGAAACTTTAGGTTGTTTCCATTTTTTTCTTTTTTTGCTACTAATAATGCTGTGAGTGCTGGAAATGGTGGTGCACGCCTGTAATCCCAGCGGCTCCGGAGGCTGAGGCAAGAGGACAGTAAATTCAAAGCCAGCCTCAGCAACGGCCAGGTGCTAAGCAACTCAGTGAGACCCCGTCTCTAAATAAAATATAAAATAGGGCTGGGGATGTGGCTCAGTGGTTGAGTGCCCCTGATTTCAATCCCCAGGACGACGACGACGACGACGACGACGATGACGACGATGATGACGATGATGATAATAATACTGTACTTCTCTGTTTATGTCCTCTGGAAAAAGGAGTTACTGGACCACTTGGTATGTGTGATGGTTTGGATATGAAGTATCCCCCCAAAGCTCCTATTGATGCAGAATATTCAGAGTTGAAGTGATCAGGTTAGAGAGCTGTAGCCTAATCTGTCCACCCTAGTTTGACTGAACTGACTGGCTGGTAACTATAGGCAGGTAGGGCATGGCTAGAGGAGGTGGCTACTGGGTGCATTTATGCCCACATACTCATGGTAGGACCACACACTCTGAGGTCATATGGATTGGAGGAAACTTAAGCCTTTATGTCTCAGCAGTCTCTTCCTCTGTAAAATGGGGAGATGGGCATCTGCCTGTCTTTTGGTCTTAGTTTGTGTGTAAGAGACACATGCCCAGAACCCTTGCCCCTGGTGGGGCTTTCTGTGACCAGATGCAATTGGCTGTGGAAGCCTGTTGGAGAAGTGCTTCTCCCACAATCAGCCTGGGTGTCTGAGAAACTTCCCACCAGCAGAGTGACCCTCAAAGGACAACCAGGGGCCTGGCCAGATGGCTTGCTGAACCTTGCCAGAACCTCTTCAGGGGGTCAAAAGAGGAAGGTGAGCTCACAGTTAAAGGGCCTCATCAAGAGCAGGAGGTTTTGTTCACCTCTCTCCTGGCTCCCTCTCCCCATAGAGCCGTATTCCCTGGGCCTTGAAGGAGGTCCGCATTCTCTTGGCAGCTCTCTTCTTCTTTGTCTACAGTCTTTGAGGGACACTTGCAGGTAAGAGGCTTCCCCCAGTGACGACTTTGCATTTTGTGCAAACATCAGCAAACACAGCAAAGTATATAAAATAGTAGGTAGAAGCTACACAGGACCAAGGACCCACATTCTCAGGACGCGTCATGGTACCATGGAAGATGTTTCAGAACCAAGTGCTGCCTGGGGTCTGGGTAAAGATGGGGAGGGGCCCTGTGTACCACCTTGGCCTCCTGAATGGTGACTTCCACAGGGCTTTTGGCCCAGCCCAGGGAGGGATGGTGTCTGATAGCCTCCAGATGGACACCAGGGGTTGGTGGGGGGGCGGGGCGCTACCCTGTCTTGTCTGGAAGAGGTTCTCTGCAGGAAGGAACTCTATCCCTTCTACCTCAGCTGAGGAGAGTTTGAGAGTAAAAAACTCAGCCTCGGACAAAAAGCACAGTTGTAAATGGAGTGAATCTCTTCATTTTACCAGAACCAGATGTATAGAAGCACTAGGAAAGAAGGAAGCCAAAGGTTAAGGAAACAGACTACTGCCATCAGGAACAATCAAGTTTTATGGCCATGCTTGTCACTGGCAGGGAGTTCACAAGTTACGATTCTGTGCTCAACATGCTACAGGACATTGGAGGGCAGAGGCACCTCCTGCTGTGGGAACAGGGAAGCCACAGAAAGGCCAAAAGATTTAATGCATGAGCCCAATGCGAGGGGTGGCCAGGGCTTCCCTGAGTGTCCATCACGACACCTGGATCCTTCCACACGGTCCATCTCTGCAGTTTGGGAGCTGATCAGAGTCTTGGATTCTTTATCACCAGCCCTGTCTCCTCTATGACCAAAGTCCCCCCATCGTCTGGATGCCCAGATGATGAGCCTAGTTGCTGCACCTGCAGGATGGCAAAGCTGGGGAATGTCAGACTGAACTGTGTTGGGACCCGGGTGTGTTCACACTGATGTGTGTGAGTTGTGTACAATTCAGATAAGATCAGAGCTTCACCTTTACCTCTGTTCAAAACCCTCCAGCCGTCTCCTGCCTCCCTCACTGCTAGTGACAGCAGAGGCGTTTCTGGCTCTCAGGTGCCACATGGAGTACCTCTTGCCAGCGCTCTGGCTCTCTCCCCCCATCCACTCTGGCCACACTGCACTTCTCCACCAGGAAGGCAGGCTCCCAGCCAAGGCCTTTGTCCCTGAGTGTCTCTGGTCTGGAATAGCCGTCTCCGTGTATTGGTATGTCTTCCCTCCAAGTGTCTTCTGAATGTCATGTTCCCGGGAGGCCCTCCCTGAGCATCTGCTTAAAATGACAGCCCCTCTCACCTGCACTTCCTGCCCTCTTCCTGCCTTAATATATCTCCATAGCATCTCACTTCCTAGTGTTCTACTTAATGTACTTATTTATGCTTTCGTCATCTCCCCATATTGTAAGAGAGTTTTTTTTTTTCTTCTCTTTCCATCACTATCATAATTTTAATGCTCAGAACAGTGCTTACTTGTTGAACAAATGACTCATATATGGATTTTTTTGAGCAGGGCATTTCACAAAGCAGGTTGGATGTCCCCTTGATCCCCATCCTGGCCGCTGGTTATGCAGAGGGAATGCAATCTCATTTAATAACAATCTGAGCCAAACAATTGAAAAGGCAGGAGTCATAGAAAAGAAATTCTAAAGATCTCCCCCAAATTCAGTATGATGCATATACTTTTTGTGATGATCTAGTCATCCATCGGCATGCCAGTTGTATCAGACATCCTTTGCGCATCACTTCCCATTCTCTCACCTGGGTCCCTGATGCAGCGGCCAGTTCCATGCAGATGCTGACTGGCTTTGACAAGTGCAACCTGACAACATCACCTCAGGCCCCTGCAGTGAACCTCTCCATTCCTGATTCATAGCCTGTACTGTGCCCGCAGCAAGAAACTACTGGACTTTACATGTGTGCAACTTAGAAATATGAGAGACTGTGTGTTTGTCCTCAACAAATGGGGACAGAAACTGATGAATAAAAGCTTCTATTTTTGTTCTGGACAACAGTTTTGAGATACCTCTTATAAGTTTCTCAAAACTCCCTCAGAAAAGAATACCAGTTGGTTGTAATGGTGGCCAAGTGGTAAGTAGTAAGTGGGTGAGGATAACATGAGATGTATAATCGCATCCTATCTATTCAGGTGTTTTGGGATGTAGTGCAGGTGGAAGGTGAAGTATTAGGTTGTGTGGTGGTTGTCACATCTGATAAGTACAGAGACAATGCTAATTATAAAGATTGTGGAGTTGGCCAAGTGTTGTTACCATATAGGTCTTGGACAGTCAGTTATCAACTGAAGGCACAGAGTAGAAATCAAAGGGCTTGTGTGGAAGCATTTAATGTTACAATTGTCACCTGCACTTCTCAGGGCAGAATGTACTGAAAACTAGACCCATGGTCTAATTAAGAGTGGCCAAACCACAAAGGAAATTGAATTCCCAGCTTTGACAGATCTTCCCATTTCAAATTCAGAGCACTTATAGGAAAAGTGTGGGGCCCTAAAGTCTGAAATGAGGACATTTATGTAGTTAAACCCCAAAATCTTGAACCGTAATTCCCTGAAAGTTCCAAGTTTTTATGAACCAGAGGAAAGCAGTCTGCTTGCCTGGAGACCTTGCAAGGACCTTACTTGAGGCAAATAACTCACAAGATGACACATCTTTCCTTTTCCAGATTCACCTCATCATCCTTCTTTTAATTCAAGAAGATAATTATGGCCAAGTGAGGAAGAAGTTTCTGCTTCTGGAGAAAATAATTTAAATCTGGCAAGAACTGAAGGAATGTGTTTGGGAGGAGCTCTTGATGTGTTGGACTGAGTGGGTAGAATAAATGTCTAAAAAGTGGGGACAAATCTATTGAATTGAATTGGGGGTATTATCCATGACTTGGTTTTCAGGTCCCAGTAAGGACACCTAGAGCAAGTCCTCATATTGCCAGAAGCCTTCTGAAGTTTAGGCGTAACTGTAGAAGTTAAGGTTGAGGTAGAGATGCTGAAGTTGCCCTCGCATAATACTGAGAAAGTGGCTGGAAGGTCAAGGATGTAGGAATATTAGAATGGACTTATTAGGAAAAACTATTTAATTCTTCACTTGATTCTGTTATCTGAGAAGACACAGAGGACACTTCCTTCATGAAAATAGAAGGGGCTATAATGATGGTCAGGTGAAGATAGAGGATGAAGGCAGTGAAATTTTTTGAGAAGCTTGGTGGTGAACCTCCTCTGAGAGCTAGAAACTCCCATGAAATTGTACTTCACTCTATTAACAGACATGATAGAATTCTGGAAAGGCAACAGGGAGGTGAATGTAAATTCAGTAATGGTCAATGAGGTCAGAGTGGTAGGCAGAGTACCTTGACCTACAAGCCAATAGACCTTGGTGTTCCGAGAGGCCAGCTACATGTATAGCTGACCAGAGTGGTCACTTGAGATGTGATTAGGTACCAGTGTGGAAAATCACAGTACCTCACAGTCTATAGGTCTGAGTTGGTTCAGTCCCAAAGCCCAATAATAAAAGATGGGAGAGGTACTTTGGAGATAGATCATTGCACCATAACCTCAAGTATATACAATGAATACTCCCCTGATCCTTCTCCAAAAGGACCTTTACCAGTGTAGCTGTGCACTGAGGACAGGGAGATGCCCAGTCTTTTCAAAGACAATTGGGTATGGGAATTGGGTTGATGCTGACCCCAGGGAAGTCAGCTCCAGCTAGGTAGGGAAGTTATACAGGTGATAAATCTAGTCCTGGCCTCAGACTGACCTGTAATATATCCAGTGTATTCAGATACTCACCCTTTGATTACTTTCCCAGTCCTGATGATATATTGGAATGGATAATCTCAAGAGCGAGCAGACCCCTCACATTGATAGAAGGGCTACATGGAAGTCTGTGACCTTGTACAAATCAGAAGCATCTCAGGAGAAACTTTAATGGTTAATGCAATTAAAGTTGAAGATTTAAAAGAGGACTGGGAATATAGCTCAGTGGTAGAACACTTGCTTAGCAAGCATAAGGCCCCTGGGTTTGATCTCCAACACCACAAAATAATAAAACACACACACACCCCCACCACACACACCACACACACACACACACACACACACACACACAGATTTAAAAGATGCCTGGGAATTTGTCCTCCTCATTTCCCCATTCCACTCATCTCTTTGGCCCATGTGTAAAAACCAGATGGATCATGGTTGGATGACAACAAACTATTACAAGTGCTGACCAAGTGGTAGTCCCAACAAAGCTGTGTGTTTACTGGAGCATATTAACATAGCCGCTGGCACTTGGCAAATTGTGTTATTTTCAGTCATTACCAGTAAGAAAAATCAAAATCAGAGCTGTGTTAACTCTCCATCTTTCTGACATGACATGAGTCAAAGGGTCCTTGAGTACCTTGACATTCCAAAGAAGAACTACCTGCTGATTTACCATATTGACATCCTGCTAATCGGACCTGGTGAGCAAAAAGTGAAAAGGCCTAGTCAAACGGGGGTGTGCGAGAGAATGCACAGGATACTGTCACATTGCTGAAGTTTTTATGGTCCATCCATCTGGGATATTCCAGAACATCTTCTGTAAGATGACAGACAAGTTTCAGTACATCATGCCTTTTGCCACTAGGAAGGGGACACTGTGCTTGATGAACCAGTTGGTGAGCCACTTTGGATTTTGGAGGCAATACATTACTGCATTTGGGAATCCCGTTATTCTCTACTTACTGGGTACCTTGGAAGACTTCCAAGTAGGGCTGAGAAGTAAAGAAGTTCAGCAGCAGATCTAGGTCTCACTGCAAATATCTCCTGCCATTTACAGATTTGGGTCCAGCAGATCTGATGCTGTTGAGGGTAACTAGGGTGAGTAAGGATGCTGGTTCGAATCTCAGATGAGCTCCAGCAGGAAAGTCCAGCACAGACTCCTAGGGTCCTGAAGCAAGGTGAGACTTTACCTTATTCTCACCAGTCTTTACTTATTTCATTCCCAGGACCCACCATCCCACTCACTTATCCCCATCAGAACCCACAATTTCAACCCTACTTCCAAGTGCTGGGCTGTTTTCTCAGGGAAGCCAATATGCACCACAAACCTGGTCTTTGCTCTGTGGGGCAAGCCTAGAGCTCTCCTGAGACCCTGTATACCTGTATACCTGATGTCCCTGATATGGCTCTGAAGATCAGAGGGTCAATTTAGTGGCTCTGCTGACCAAGATGTTTGTGATAGCAAAGGATGCAGTACAGGGGTACTCTGGCACTTCATCCAAAGACATCAAAAATATCCCTGCTAGTAGGATGCTCTCATGTCCTGGAATTCTAGGATAAGAGTATAATAAACCCTATGTGTCCCTGGTAAGTGTAAGGAGAGCCTTATTAAATGAGATATCTCAAACTTGAACCCTGCAAGTCACAACTGGTTTTTCCAAGACTGTGCACATAACACATAACACTGATTTTAGTGAAAGCAAAGGAAAGCACACGCCACGCAGGCCAATTGAAGAAAATAATAATAAAAAAAAAGGTCACTGGAATCCACTAATGCCAGAAGGTGGAAAAGCTAAGCCAATCAACATGGTGTGCTGAGAATTCAAATGCACCCTACTCACAGACACAGGGATGGAAGCCAGGTGGGTGATCAGCCCAGAGAGAGGCAGCACCCATGCCCTCCAGCTCAGCCCCATGAAGAATTGGCTCTTTATTTATTTTTATTATTATTGGTTCTTTATATGTTATGGATTCCATATGAGCTATAGAGAGAGGACAATCCGAACTGTTATGTATCAGGTTTTCTGGTTTAAGAATTTGCACACTGGACTGGGGATACAGCTCAGCAGTAGAGCACTTGGCTAGAATATGCAAAGCCCCGGGTTCCAGCCCCAGCACTGAAAACAGAAAAAGAATTTGCAACCCACCTTGCCCTCCTTCCTCTCCCCCAACACTCTCAGGGACCCAGACCCATGATGTGGGTGATGTCTCTGGAGGGTTCACTCTGTGGACCCCAGCAGGCCTGCTGGGCAGAAGGCTGGACGAATCACACCTACTATGTGCAAGGCTTGGTGGGAGAGGTGTAGGCAGGGCGGGGACACAGCAGTGTTAGACCTCCTCCTTGCCTGCTCCCAGCCAGGCTGGGCTGTTCAGGAGAGCAGGGAGCCAGGGAGCCCCTCCCAACCCCGCCATCCACGTCCTCTTCCCTCAGCCCCACAGGCCAAGACAAACGCAGGGCCCCATCCAAAGCCTGGAGGTGAGTGCTGTTCATTTAATGGATCTCTAGAGAATGAGGCCGAATGTGCTGACTGAACATATTCTAATAACTTGGAGAGAAAAATCCATATTGCAAATCACCTTACTTAGTTCGGCTTTACAAGAACTATTTATTTCACAAGAACCGCAGCCTGCTCTTCATTTTTGTTCTCCTCGAACAGCGGGAAATGGCACACAGATGAATCTAGGGGATTTTTCACCCTCCTGGCTAGAAAAGGAGGGGAAGGGAAATGTGTAGACGCTCGAATCCTGTTAAAATAATTGATTCAGGCAGAGGCTTTGGTCATACATCTGAATACTCTCCACACTCAGTGACATTAAGCAGTGATCTCCCTCCCTGGGACAGGGGAGAAGAGAGCGATCTGTCACCTGGATGGCAGGACTTGCCTGTGTATCCTCAGGGTGTGCAGGCCTGAGCTGGGAGCTGGGAGAAGACAGGACAGAAAGGTTTCTGACCACAGGGGCAATAGTCAATAATGCAAGAGTATAAACGTCATGTCCCCTAGAAATTGGGATGACAGGGTAATTAATTACCTGTTTCTTAGAAATAAAGAGAGGAAGAGATACACAGAGCTTACCTGCCTCTTTGTCCCTAGCACTGTACCCATCAACACATCTAGCCGTGATCTGATAAGGCCACCATTATTATTCCATTTTGCAGCTTAGGTTTTGGAAACCCAGAGAGATTAAATAATTTGCTCAGGGTCACACTAACGGAAAATGGCGGGTACAAATCCAACCCCTGACCGCATATCTTCTTCCCCGTTCCTTGTCATCATGCTCTGGAAGGAAATGGAGGTAGAAGACTGTTTTGAGACAGAGATACAACATAAGGAAGGAGTAAGAGAAGATGCAAGACCCTGAGAAACTGCAGTGGCAGGTCCTGCCTTCTGACAAGGGGTGCGAATCCTGTAAACACGTCAGCATCCTGAACATTATTTACACCTTATCACTGTTGTGTTTCTCAGTCCCTTTGAAGAGCTGAAGGGGAAACTGAGTCACAAGAGACAGTTTGGGGCAAGTGTCATGGAGAGTCTGGAAGGAAATGCACCTAAAGAAAAATCTACAGAAATCCATAAAGACATATGTTTTCTGGATCTAAGTATATTCTAAAGTGTTCATTAGAGGACACGACAGACATGCCCTTGTTTAAAATTCGTTATTCACAATTTAGTCATTGTAATCATATGTCCAAAATAGGATTTTCTTTAGAGACTAAACATGGAAGTTTTCGTTAAAGTTTTGATTATATGTGAAAACAGCATTTTCAAAGTGTTATGGACTGTATCATTAATAACAGATCAACTACTTTCAAATCCATAGTGTGTTGACCCATTTTATTAGGCAACCAGGTGACACCAATTCTTTTAATATTGATTGTGGTCATTTTATATCAGATGGCAATAGCTTCAATGTGAATGAGTCTCTTTCTTGAATGGGGAGAAAAGTTGAAAAAAACAAACAGGGTAACTTGCAACAAGGCTTGCTTTGGTTTTTTTTTCCATACAGATATTTCAGCTGTCTCAAGGAGAAACATTTTTGACATTTTAGAAGGACAACTCTGCCTTCTTAAAAAGGGTCTCCAAGATATTGTGGAGAGTGGTTCACAGAGGAATAAGACATACTCTCACAGACTGTACATAATGTCAGGGAGATATCTGGATGACTGTAGAGTAGGTTAGTTGCTGCTAAGCATCATGGGAGAGGACTGAGCGCTGCCAGTTATGTAATAGAGAATCACAATTGGCGATCCTATATATTTGATAGAGTTTTTTTCTTATGTTACTGGGAATTGAACGTAAGGTGGTTCTATCACTGAGCTACATTCCCAACCCTTTGTATTTTTATTTTGAGATAGAGTCTCACTAAGTTGTGGAGGCTGACCTCAAACTTGGAAGCCTCCTCAGTAGCTGGAATTACAGGTGGGTACCACTATACCCAGCTGGCTGATAGATTAAAAAAAGAAAAGTCCTCAGTAGGAGATTGTGTTTCAAATGATTGTAGCAGCATTATTCATAATAACCTGAAAGTGGAAACAACCTAAATGTCCATCAACCAATAACCAAAATGTGGAATATCCTTACAATAGAATGTTATCCATCCACAAATAAGAATCAAGTACTGATACATATCACAATGTGGAAGAAGCTTGGAAACATTGTGGAAATGAAAAAAAGACCACACATTGGGTGATTCCAATTATATGAAGTGTTCAGAATAGACAATTCTATAGAGATAGAATCATCATGGTCTAGGATCAGTGGAGCTGAGGTGACTGGGGAGGTGTAATGAGAGATTTCTTTGGGGGGCAGTGAAAGTGATCTAGAATTAAATGTAATGATGGTTGCACAGATCTGGAGATACGCCAAACACCATTGAATATTATACTTTAACCAAATGAATTGAACACTGTGTGATTAATATCTCAATAAAACTATTTTTAAGTGGCAGGGGTGGGGGAGGAATAGTGTTTAAGGTGGGCTGTAGAGCCTGGGTTGCAGTTCCACAGTGCACCTGTTGGTTCTTTCCATGTGAAATCCATCTTCAGGTGCAAGCTGAGAAGCAGTTATGCTGGAGGCCACAGCCTTCTCACATCCAGAGGAGCAGGAATTTAAGGTACCGCAATTGGGAGGTGGTGTGGGCAATCTAGCTGTGGATGTTACAAAGTTTCTTCTGAAGCTAATTAAGAGTCTCATTTTTCTATCCCTCCTTCACATAGCTGCCAGCACTATCTTCCCCCAACACTGGACAAAGTAGGGTGTCCTCCACCTGTCCT